GTTTTTCTTCTTCTTCTTCTCTTGTTTTGTAGCGGATTGCAAACAACTTTAAGGTGCTTACCGCCACCTACTGTACTTGTAATCTTCCCTCAGGGAAAAGTACTCCGGTGTGAACGCGATCTGTACTAAGTGCCCTGGGGTTAAAAGCGCCAGGGCACTTAGTGCCGGAACTAAGTACAGGAAAGTACTTGGTGTGAACGCGGCTATGGACACTCAGCCATTTTATAACCCGTTGGGGGAGAGATTTAAATTGAGTTTTTCTCTAGTAGCTGATTGGCTGTGATTACAGCAGCACTGGATAGTTATGCGCCACCGTTGGGTTGTACTCTGAATCAGTGTGTTGGTGAAATGTTGCTCACTACAGAAACAGAAGAAGTGTGCAAAGAACGCATCTCTGAGGAGGTTTTGACATTTTGCTTGTGATGGACATGAACCCTTGTTGTCAAGGCAACAGTGGTGTGAAGAGGAACTGCACTTTTTGGGGATTTCTACTGTGCAGAGGACAACGTGTGTCTGCTGATTGTACCACATTGATCCAAGAGTTTCCTCCCCTCCAGATGCCAGAGAGAGTTTCCTTGAGCCCACTGACCAGGGCCGTCTCTAGCTTTTTGGAGACCCTGCCACTGACTACAGCTGCAGAGGACAACGAATCACTGACTGTTCTCATTATGACAAGATCTTGAGACAGGCTTGTCTCAGACTGTTCAGACTCTGAAGAAATCATGCAATGATTTTACAGCATAACTGTGCAAGAGTTTTCCAGAGGGTGGTGTAGAACATTATGTTTAGTGTTTAAGAAGAGAGGCTGCTTGTTTAACGATGGTCTGGAATACTGAAAAGATTAATATCATTAATATCCTTTATTTTAGCATACTAGACATCTGATTATTATATCACACAGAATAATCTTGAAATATAAACTAGCTATGGGTAAAACGTGTGATTGTTATACCATTGTTATAATGAACTGAAAGTAAATAGGGAAATAGTGTCTGGTTAAAGATGAACAGATTTGATATCCTAGAAAGGGTTAGTTATAGTGTGAATAACTTTACAAAGTATTTACTAATGTATTTTAAAGTACAAATAAAAAAAAACACAAGTCCAGTTTTGTTTTTTAGAATTAAATTGTCTATTATTAAAAAAAACTGTTCACCTTAGGTCTAGCTTTAGACTTTGATAGTAAAGGAGTATTTAGGTTTATTTTTTAAATATGTTGGCTATTCACTAGATAGAGATTTATTGAGAACATTTCTGAAGATTGAATATTTGTTCCATTTCTAATATTCCTATTTAAAACGTAATTTTAGAGTAACGAAGGCTGATGCTGAACTTGGAAAAATGTGTTAGTGGTTTGCATGATGTAAACAAAGAGGCTTTGGTTTGTTCAATCACCAGTTAAATCTACTTCAGTACCTGGTACTGTAAAATGGTTTGGTATGATTGATTTGGCTAAAACTTAGTTTAACATCCTGATGTAACATTATGAGACATGTTCACTTCTAAGGGTAAACAAATTAATAAAAAGGACTATTATTATTATTAATTAATTGAAATATTAATGAAAAAGGCCGATGTCTGCAGGTTCACTTAGGGATGCCTTGCAAGAACATTTGTCAGGTTTTATGTTTCCCAGGGGCAGTACATTAATAAAGTGTATTGATAATTTGTTTGTTTAACATCTGAAACAAATTGTGCTGCGAACACGGGAAAAACTTTGTTGCATTGTTTGACATCAACACAATGATGTCACTGATTAAAAACTCCAGCTGGTAGAATATCAAAGTGCACTACTATAGGACATGAGATCTCGAGACTGACTTAGACTTTGCAAAGACTGAATGAATGTGAATTGATTTGTCAATTCCTGACTGTTACAGTAACACTGACCCACCGACAGAGTGATTTTATTTTGGGATGTACGCATTACTTTTGGCAATGGTTTTCTGACTATGCCATATTAGTTGGACCATTGTGAGACATGGTGCATGACATTTGTCTGACTATGCATGATCCCTGCATGACTTGATGACTATGTAACTTGATATTTAACATTGTTGATTCTTTTTGACAGGAGAAAGTTTTCCTGATGATGAGTCATAGGACTTTGAAATAACATTGTATGAGCAGATGGGTACTCTGAGGTATCTTACTTGGGGAAACATGGTCTCTATGGTTTGGAGGACAATGTTTCCAGGAGGGGTATAACGGGTTTATTGTTCTTGTTCACGTGAATTTGTTAACCCTCACATGATCCAGAGGGAAAATGAAACAACTTGTTGCCTAAACAACTTTTTGCCTAATGTTCGAAGTTGAGATCTGATTGGCTTCAGCACCATGGCTGAACAATTTTGCAGAATATGTTTGTTGTGTGCTTAGGAAATTGTGGGTAAGTAAAAACACAACACAAACAACATTTCATGGTTTCAAGAAGTTAAAAAAATTATAGGTAAGACTCTAAGGCCTAGTGGTCGACTGTAGGCTGTTAACCCAGAATGCAAGTGCTATTTTCTACCCAGGTCAAAGCTGTCTTTCCCTTGCAATCTTGAGGAAGGAAGATGGATCATTCTGAGGCAGATGTTTAAGGAGCTGCGTCTGGAGGCAAACTGGAGTGTCAATGAAGGCAGCTGGATGACTACCTTCAGTTCCAGCTATTCTTCCACTGCTATTGTCTTATGGGTTTGGGTCAACACGAAGAACAAAACCCAAAACTTCTGAGATGATTTACAGCCAAGTATATTAGTAATCTCAAACTCCAGAGAAGAAGATCTACCGTTAAACTGTTCTTTTAAAGAAGTCTCAGTTTTCTGACTACAGTTCCGTCCAATTCAAATGGTAATGATGTTGCTTCAGATGTCATCAAGGGATTTTGCTATGAGATGGGACATTACAGCATGAAGGCTAAGATAACAATTCCATCTAAAGGCTACGCATGGAGATCGGAACGTGCACACCCTGAAGAAGTGTTTAATGGACAATATAACAGAAGTGTACGCCAGTTACATCTTGCTATAAGTGTTTTAGAAGATTTTTTATTATGTATAATCAAGTATTACATTGAATGTTACTTTGTTATTAGGTTATGTATGTAAGTTTGTTAAACTTGAATGGGACAAATTGATTTTTCCTCTTAAGCATACTGAGGTTTTTTAAATGATTTTCCATTTAAGTAGAGTAGATTAGCGCAAATTGTCTTTTCTTCCACTTTTTGTGTTATAATCAAAAAGGTGGTTTTTTGGCTATTTGTGAGTAGTACAGGTAACCCTGTGACTTCTGCCTTGAGTAAAATGATTATTCATTGATAAATATTTTTCAGAAAGTAATTTTGGACTTTCCAGGGCGGATCTCAAAAGGTTATTTGTAAGAGTTTTTTTGTATGATCTGGAAACTTAAATTAATAAAAGGAGGGAATGTTATGTCAAGTCTTGGACCTTCTCAATATAACTATAATTTAATTACAGTTTCCAGATATTGGAAGAGGCCCATGAGTCTCTTTGCTAATTATCAATGGTCTTTGCAATTAACAGCAGATGTACCCATGTTAAGTAAATTGGCAAAGGTCAGAGGAACTCCAAGAGAGGTCTTCCTCAGATATAATACAGTTAAAGTCTTGTTAGTTAGTGGTTCATATCCAGCATGCATTAGCTAAGAAACGATAAGGATGTTGGTGTGTGACATCTGGAACTTACATGTTGCTCTGATGTTGGTGCGTCCAAGTTTAGGAGAACTGACAATGTGTGTGCGTTAAACATGATTAGGGAACATGTTCGTGTGTCATTTAGGAAACGTATATTTGGCCTGTGTTTTCTTGTGTTCGTGGGACCATTTCTGCGATTGGTTGCTGTTAAAGCAAGGTAATGTTTCCCCATTGTTGTTTGGTGGTGCGCAACTAAATAATAATGATTAGTCTCAACTATTTCTGTGTTAGTGTTTCATTGATTCCTCTCTGTTTCATTCTTTCATGTTGTGTGAGTACTTGGATCGCCACAACATTTCCTTATAGTTAATAAAGCAATTAAACAATAAAAAGACAATACCATGGGGTCATTAAGATCTTTAAATTATTATTACCCTCTTCAGAGAGACTTCGTTGTAGTTAATAAAGTAATTAAACATTAGTTCACAAGCCATACAGCTTAAGAGAGCATCCAGTTCACTAGCCCTACAATTTCAAAAGAACATCCTTAGTTAACAACAACTTCATAGGGGGTTTTAAAGTTGTGTGAAGTAACTAAACATTACAAATACAATATCAGGGGGTGATTAACCTCTTTTTTTATTATTATTACCCTCTTTCAAAAAGAGAGTCCCTTGTAGTTAATAAAGTAATTAAATATTAGGTATTTTTTTAAAGTTTAGGTGACTTGGTGAGTGGAAATGACTGGCTTTTTATCTAGTTTGCACGGATTTCTTTTTTTACCTAACTCCACCCCTCACTATCTTCTGGCATCACAGCAAAAGGAAAGGGGGTGACAGGGAGGGTGAGAGGGGGACGGGGTGCGAGACAGTCTCACACAACTTCAAAGCGACTGCCTTAATTAACACTAGTTACAAACACTGATCAAAGGACAGACTTCAGAGGGTAATTAGATTGACATCAAAGGCTTATAACAGGCCGGTGTGATATCACAGCGGCATGTCATAACACCTCACCCCCCTTACATCAAAGGACAGACATCAACGGGCTAATTAGATTGACATCAAAGACTTATAACATGCCGGTGTGATATCACACCTACATGTTACAACACCTCACCCCCCTCACATCAAAGGATATCACACCTATCTGTTATATCACACCTACACGCGATAACACCTCGGACAAAAGGGGTCATTAGCATATCAAAGGAGGTCATTTGCATAAGTAGTGGGGGGATGTGACCTGTCACTTTTTATGCATACTAATGTGATTTAAACAGGATCAGTATAACTACTCTGGTTCTTTCAGGTCATAGGAGACAGTTTCTACCTCCTCTATCAGACTGAGTGCCTCTCCATACCTGAGTGTGTCCAGTCCAGCAGACAGCAGCCTCCCCCCTGACTCTCCTGGATGATTGTAGCTCAGGTCCAGCTCTCTCAGATGGGAGGCGTTTAAAGCTGAGGCCAGAGCATCACAGCCTTCCTCTGTGATCAGACAGCCTGACAGCCTGCAGACACACAAACAAGCCGTCAGATCATCTGAGGGTCCAGGACTGGAAGGGGAGGGGGCTTATTACTGCATCACCTCTGGGTCATCTCTACACCTAAAACTCCAGTCACTGCTTCACAGTTCAAATGGACAGCCATGGTAAGGGTCTTATTGATATGAACAGATCATGAAACAAAGGAATAGAGAATAATGTGAACAAAGACACAGAGAGATGACTACAAGAAGAGCTGCAGCTGACACTCTACTACAGTTTGGACATCAGACCTATTAAATGGGTCCCAGGACGCATATGAAATCACTCCAGCATGTTCTGTCTCTTCAGAGCTCCTCACCCAATCTCTGAGGCCCAGTCAGCCTACAGAAGAAGCTTTAATCTGACGCTCATTTAAACTGCTTGTATCTGTGATCTCATCCTTTCAGTGACTACCTAAAGCTCATGACGGTGAGTAAGGGTTGATCGTAGACGGACTGGTAAATAGAGAGCTTTGCCTCCAGCTCAGCTTCCTCTCTCTAACGGTCCCGTACAACGCCTGCATCACTGCTGACTCTGCAACAAGGGACTGCCTGTCCATCTAGGGCCCGGGGGCCAACTGCGGCCCTTTAAGTCTAAAAAATCTTAGTTGATAAAAAAAAAGCCCAATAACTTATTTGCATAACAAACCTTTCCTATGTCCACTTATAAGCAATCTGAGGCTTCTGTTTTAAAGGATGAGCCGCCAACTAAATAAAGTAAACCCTCTGGAGAGCTGAGATGTAGGCTGTTTTGTTCTTAAAGCATATTCAAGTATCAAGAATAATTAACCTACATTTGATTGATTTTGCTAAATTATAACTTGACTTATGAGGCAATATATCTCACCTCTAGTGAGGGGCCCAGCCCTTCGTATGTTATTCTGTATATGGCCCTGTAAGTTTGAAAGTCCCTGACCTAATGCTTCATTTTCACCCTCACTCGTCAACGAAACCCTGAGATAACTAAGTTCCTCGTCTGGGTAAGAAACTCACTGCCAACCTGGAGAGAGCAATCCACCGTTTCCAGAGATCCTCTGCCTCAGATTAGGAGGTGCTCGGCTAAAATTACCAAAATGAGTGCTGGAGAAACACTTCTGCAAAATCACTAAAAATGAAGCTCTTTATAGAGGGTTTAAAGAAGTTTGTGTCAATAATCATTTTATGAATTGTGACACATGTATTGGTGTTTCGTTTCACTACAATGATGTTATTGATGATGGTATTCCCACACCACAGCAGCATGGCTGATTGTTGGCTAAGTCAAACTGTACTGGTCTCTGACCTGAGAGTCTTCAGTTCACAGTGTGGACTCTCCAGTCCAGCAGACAGCAGCTTCACTCCTGAATCCTGCAGGTCGTTGTTACTCAGGTCCAGATCTCTCAGACTGGAGGACTGGGAGCTGAGGACTGAGGACAGAGCTCCACAGCCTCTCTCTGACAGGTTACAGCCACTCAGCCTGAAGAGACGATGAGGACAACATTTATTCAGAAGACAGCAGTGTATTAATAACTGATTCTCTAAATCAAATGATCTCTGTACTTACAGAGCTTTGTTGGAGGCTTTGACCACTGGCAGCAGCCTCAGAAGAGCCTCCTCTGAAGCAGAGTATGTCTTCAGGTCAAACACGTCCAGATCTTTTCCTGATGAGAGTAAGATGAAGACCAGAGCTGACCACTGAGCAGGAGACAGATTATATCTGGAGAGACTTCCTGAACTCAGGTACTGTTGGATCTGCTCCACTAGAGAACGATCATTCAGTTCATTCAGACAGTGGAACAGGTTGATGCTTCTCTCTGCAGACAGATCCTCTTCCATCTTCTTCTTGATGTACTGGACTGTTTCCTGGTTGATCTTTGAGCCACTTCCTGTCTGTGTCAGCAGGCCTCGTAGGAGTTTCTGATTGGTCTGCAGAGAGAGACCCAGGAAGAAGCGCAGGAACAAGTCCAGGTGTCCGTTTGGACTCTGTAAGGCCTGGTTCACAGCACTCCGGTAGAGATGTGTTAGTTTAGGTTTGACTTCAGACTTCTGGGAGGTTGTTGGTTCTTCTGCCAGCAGGTTGACTCCAGAGTTGATGAAGGTCAGATGGACATGAAGAGCAGCCAGAAACTCCTGAACGCTCAGATGGACAAAGCAGAACACCTTGTCCTGGTACAGTCCTCTCTCCTCTCGAAAGACCTGTGTGAACACTCCTGAGTACACTGAGGCTGCTCTGATATCGATGCCACACTCTGTCAGGTCGGACTCATAGAAGATCAGGTTGCCTTTCTGCAGCTGCTCAAAAGCCAGTTTCCCCAGAGACTCCATCATCTTCCTGCTCTCTGGACTCCAGTGTGGATCTGTCTCAGCTCCTCCATCATACTTGACGATCTTCACTTTGGACTGAACCACCAGGAAGTGGATGTACATCTCAGTCAGGGTCTTGGGCAGCTCTCCTCCCTCTCTGGTTTTCAACACCTCCTCCAGAACTGAAGCAGAGATCCAGCAGAAGACTGGGATGTGGCACATGATGTGGAGGCTTCGTGAGGTCTTGATGTGGGAGATGATGGTGCCGGCCTGCTCCTGATCTCTGAATCTCTTCCTGAAGTACTCCTCCTTCTGTGGGTCAGTGAACCCTCGGACCTCTGTCACCATGTCCACACACTCAGGAGGGATCTGATTGGCTGCTGCAGGTCGTGTGGTTATCCAGAGGCGAGCAGAGGGAAGCAGCTTCCCCCTGATGAGGTTTGTCAGCAGCACATCCACTGAGGTGGACTCTGTGACATCAGTCAGGATCTCAGTGTTGAGGAAGTCCAGAGGAAGTCGACACTCATCCAGACCGTCAAAGATGAACACAACCGGGAACTGATCAAACCTGCAGATTCCTGCGTCTCTGGTTTCAGAGAAGAAGTGATGAACAAGTTCCACCAAGCTGTACTTGTTCTCTCTCACCACATTCAGCTCTCTGAAGGTGAATGGAAATATGAACTGGATGTCCTGGTTGGCTTTGCCTTCAGCCCAGTCCAGAGTGAACTTCTGTGTTAAGACTGTTTTCCCAATGCCAGCCACGCCCTTTGTCATCACTGCTCTGATTGGTGCATCTCTTCCAGGTGAGGCTTTAAAGAGGTCTTCTCGTCTGATGGTTCTTTCTGGTCTGTCTGGTTTCCTGGATGCTGTTTCAATCTGTCTGACCTCATGTTCCTCATTGACCTCTGCAGACCCCCCCTCTGTGATGTAGAGCTCTGTGTAGATCTGGTTCAGAAGGGTTGGGTTTCCTGCTTTAGCAATGCCCTCAAACACACACTGGAACCTCTCCTTCAGGGTGGATTTAAGTTTACGCTGACAAACTCCAGCAAAGGTTTCTGAAAGAACACACAACAAAAGATCATTTGGGAACACTGTAACTCTGGTTCTCTGAATAAAATATGGATATATGTTGGTCTCTTGAGACATCAGCAGATGAGACATTTATCCAGAGTGTTACATCTTTATAGAAACCCTCTTACTGCTGTGCAGACGGTCAGCCAGCTCCTCCTGCTTCATGCTCCTCAGGAAGTGCAGTGTGATGTTCAGGAATGCCTCTCTGCTCCTCCTCTGCTCTTCATCCTCAGCCTCCAACACCTCCTCATCCTCACTCTGACCCTCTAAGTATTCTGGGTAATCTGAACTCAGAGCCTTCTGGATCTTCTTCAGCTCGCTCTTCACAAAAGTGACGATGTGGTCCTCCAGCAGCTGGAACATCACATGAACGACACAAACTATAAACCATGGATCCAAACATCAGATCCGGACAGACTGACTCTCTAAAAGTGCAGCATGGAGATGACTGTGAACAGAAGAGAGGTAAAGTATCTGTAGTACATGTACTCACCGTAAATATGGAGTCCAGCTGTGTCTGATACTGCTGGGCAGACGGACCACCGGGAACCTCCGAGCTCTCCTGGTCCCCTCTGTGGAGGAACCATGAAGCATTAGCTCACATTATGTCTGTCCACACAGAGACACACTCAGGGTGAAGGAGGACAGGGGAACAGGCTGGTGGTCCTGTGCGTCAGCGGGAACTTTGCACTACAGGAATATTTATTTCCAGCTACTGTTGAGGACCAGAGGATTCTGTCCATCCTTCATTCTGGTCTTCCTGAAACGTGGCTGTGTGGATAGATACTGGACTCTGCAGCTGGCTAACAGCTGTTCATCAGGAAAAGGAAAGACCTAGGGACAGTTCTTACACCAGCCCCCGTTACCCCCCCCAGCTCCACCTCCAGCACCATAGCAGGGGTCAGGGTTCACCTGGCAATAGACGTGGTTGTGACTTTGATGAAGGCTCAGTATCCTCCATCAGAAGTGTTTGTGAGATGGTGGAACAGCTTCTGAACAGCCTGAGTTTTCAGATGGAGTTTCACTGACCCTCCCAGTGTGGACGTTCACAACTAAACACTTTGGACAAGAGGAGGGGTCTGACGAGACTTTAAACAAACTGGATTTATTCTATCATAACCGGACTCTAACTATGAGTTACAGCTTACTTCTGATCAGCAGATGGAGGTCGTCCTTTAAAGTTTATGAAGTCGTCCTTCGAGGCGTCGCTCTTTAGGGACAGACAGCTGGGAGAGTCTGGTCTCTGCTGCTGGACCCTGAAACAGAAACAGATGAAACATTTGCATAAATACCTTTTGTTTTGTTTTGTTTTATTTCATTCAGTAGTTTGCTCATATATACAAGCTACTGTTTGAAAGAATATATTTTTTAAATATGATCAAAAGGGTGGAATGTAATGGAACATTTTATTTGATCATGCTGAGTGATCATTCAAAGTTCACCATTATGTTGTTCTTGATAAGCTATTTCTTAGAAAATGACTCAGAGGCAGCAGTTAAGATAACCTCTATCTATTGTGAAAGGTTGATGACCTTTAACCTCTGAGGAATGTAGACATTATGGCTCTCCATGCAGCAAGCAGATGTCTCCTGGACATCTTGACCACTCCCCTTCTTCCTTTTGGGTCTGATTTTGTGAATATAAGACCCTTTGCAAATCTCCTGACGTTTGTACTTCGCTGCAGACTGCTTGACACTCTGTAACGTTTTACCTTCTTACAAGAATAAACTCTTATTTCAAGAATCTTCATTTCAGTATAACGGAAAGGTTTCCTCACCATTTTATTATTATTTGTTTGTCTTGGTTAATTTGCACCACACAAGGCATTGTGGGACTGCATTTTCTCTTTTCCTTTCATTAAGGAAGGTCCAGTGTTTCCTTAGCTAAGGAGGTTATTATACCGCTCTCACTCTCCTGATTATTTGTCCCATTTATCAGGCCGTAAAACATGCTGGAAAAAAACTGCTGAAAAATATGTTGGACAAGACTTCATACCGACTAGTTTTATTCTCTCATAACCGGACTCTTACTGTGAGTTACAGCTTACTTCTGATCAGCAGATGGAGGTCTTCCTTTAAAGTTTATGAAGTCGTCCTTCGAGGAGTCGCTCTTTAGGGACAGACAGCTGGGAGAGTCTGGTCTCTGCTGCTGGACCCTGAAACAGAAACAGATGCAGACATTGGCGTGCCTTCACTTCATACCCATTAGTTTGATCTAAGGTTAAGGTTAGGGAATGTGGGACTCGAGAGAAGACTCCATTGCAGTAGTCCAGGGAGATGATGAATGCTTGAGTCGATGGGTCAGTGCTGATATAGATTTGGGTGTCGTGGGCGTAGGAATGAAAATTGAAACCATGTTGGCGGATCATTTGACCAAGGGGGAGCATGTAGATGGTGAAGAGAAGAGGGCCAAGCACTGAGCCTTGCGGCACGCCTTGGCTGACTGGGGCTGGAGGGGAGCTGGAGTTTCTGATGGTGACAAACTGTTACCTGTTGGAGAAGTATGAGTGGAACCAGGATAGAGCTGTACTCGTAAGGCCAAGGTAGTTGGATAGGCGGTTGAACAGGATGGTATGGGAGATGGTGTCAAAAGCTGCAGACATGTCTAGGAGGATGAGGATACTGATGTGGCCTAAATACACATAATGCAGCTACAAGTGTTGAAGTGCAATGATAAAACAGTGAGAGTGAGAGGATCTCTGGATAGGATGCACTAAAGAGAAAGGTTTCAGACTCGATTTAAAGAACTCAGGGTGGGGGTGGACCTCAGATCTCAGGAAGGTTGTTCCAGATCTGCAGCGCATAGAAGCTAAAAGCTGCATCAGCGAATTTGGTTCTGACCCTGTGGACGATGAGTAAACCTGCCCCGATGATCTGAGAGCCCTGGGTGGCTCGTTACAGAGCAGCATATCAGACATGTATTCTGGTCCCAATCCATTGAGTGCTTTGTGAGTTAAAAGTAAGATTTTAAAGTGTGTTCTTTGTGGTATTGGAAGCCAGTGCAGAGCTTTGAGAGCTGAGGTGATGAGCTCAGTTCTTCCGGTTTTGATGAGGACTCTGGTGGCAGCGTTCTGGATGAGTTGTAGTAAAACACTGTTGCAGTAATCAAGTCTGCTTCTATCATAACCAGACTCTTACTGTGAGTTACAGCTTACTTCTGATCAGCAGATGGAGGTCGTCCTTTAAAGTCTAAGAAGTCGTCCTTGGAGGCGTCGCTCTTTAGGGACAGACAGCTGGGAGAGTCTGGTCTCTGTTGCTGGACCCTGAAACAGAAACAGATGCATCAAGAGAAGAAGAAGGAGCTCTTCATCGTCCCACAGAGGGGAAATGCACATTCTGCATTTGATCCATCCTAGTGTTAGGAGCAGTGGGCTGCCATATGTACGGCGCCCGGGGAGCAGTGTAGGGAACGCTGCCTTGCTCAGGGACACCTGGGTAGCACTTGGTCTTCCGGGGTCTTGAACCGGTGACTCTCTGGTTCCCAAGCCAAGTCCCTACGGACTTTGCCACCACCGCCCATACATCGGCACGCTGGAGAAAAACTGATGAAAATATGTTAAATCTAAAGTCACTCTTTACAATGTAATGGTATAAATCACTCTGTGTTGCCCAACAGATGAACCTTCCAGACTTTCTGAGTGTCCTCTATCAGCCGGTGGACTGCTCTCTATGTGAAGGACTCGGGAAGATTTTCAGAGGAAATCCTAAAGACGTGAAGTTTATCTACAAAGTGCCTCGCGTCTCTTCAGCTGCCCTACAGCCAGCAGTGTGAAGCTAACGTAAACACATCTCTTTCGTGGATAACGTCACTGAGTTCATGCCCAGGATGCTAACTGCAGTTCACTTAACGCCCACCGACGTCGCTAATAACCAGGATTTCCTGAAGGTTACACAGAAGCTTTAACACAGACAACAACTGACTCAAATGGCTTTTAGTCCGTTTAAATTTCTTACCCCCCGTCAGCAGATTGAGGCTCCATTGAGCGGTCACTCTTTGAGGAAACACAGCGGGACTCAGGTTCAGGTCCAGGTTCAGGTCCAGGTCCAGGTTACACCTGGAATAAATTCACACCATAGACTGTATATATAAAGGGAACAACCACACACACACGTAATGATTGATAATAATAGTTTTTGTGTACAGGTGTATCTCAGGTAAAAACAGGAAGAGAGTTCAAGTCTGTCTCTGAGTCTCTGAAAGTTAAACTAAAGAGTTGTTCTTATTCTCTGAGCAATGATTGATAATCAGAGTTGTCTCTAAAAGCTCTGAAGTCACAAAAAGTTACGAAGGTGCGACACGACGAGCACAAAGTGAAACTGCAAACACTTCAAAATAAGTCACAAGCTACCCTGCAGTATCAATCAATCAATCAATCAATCAATCAATCAATCAATCAATGTTTATTTATATAGCCCAATATCACAAATGTTACATTTGTCTCAGTGGACTTCACAGTTTGTACAGAATATCAGTGACAATATGACACCCTCTGTCCTTAGACCCTCACATCGTACAAGGAAACACTTCCAGAGAAACCCACAGTTTAAAGGAACATGGGAGAAACCTCAGGGAGAGCAACAGAGGAGGGATCCCTCTCCCAGGACGGACAGACGTGCAATAGATGCCGTTTGTAAAGTATACAAAGTCCTTCAAACTAGCTGCTCCTTTACCAGCTTTGAGAACACTTTCATGATCAATCATTATAAAACATATCATCTATATTATTCTGAAATGGACCAATCTGCACAATGACTACTTTTACTGTCGCTACTTTAACTATATTTTCATGCTAAGTGCTTTCTCGTTGCCTTTCTTTGGGGATCACTCTTCACTTCTATCGGACTCTGAAAGCTTTCTGAAATATTCCTCTTGTTCCAGTCACAGTTAGAGCTAGTGCAATAATGCATCCTGTTAGCTTGTTAGCTTGTTAGCTGCAGCTGAATCCTCAGAGAGCTTTAGACCTTCATCTGCAGACACACACAGAGCATCAGTCACTGAGAGCTGCAGGAAGTGTTCATATCTGTGCACGTGAACACCTGAAGTTCAGGCTGAGAGTAACAATGCGTCACATTTACTTATCATTTCATTCTATTCTTCACTCTCATTCATGGATTTGAGTTGGATCATTTTATTCCATGTTTACTGATCTAGTGTTTTTATTTCATGCTCATTAACTTCTTGTCCTGTTTGCTTTAGCTTTTAATGTATTTCTTATTGATCTATTTAGTTTTCCGGCTCAATCCCCACTATCCCTTCTCTCTGTTTATTTCTAAGCATGAAAACAAAGCAATCTGTAAGACATGGCTTCAAATGTTTTATTGATTCCTATTTATCAATACATTTATTCATTTGTATATTTGTATAGTTATGTGTTTGCTTATTATTCATCTATGCATCATTTTCATTCTCTGATTATTATTTATATAATATTTATATTCTTCAATTTATGTAATTTGTATAATTGTTTCATTTATTGTGAGCTCTTTTTATCACTACTCCTGTTGACTCTATTTATTAATTGTATTATTATTTATTACATTCCCTTTTATTTATTCCTCTTTGTATTTTCACATATTGTTTTCTTTAATTATTAATGTTTAAATGTTTAAATGTTCACGTTCATCATTTTATTTTTTGTAAACGTATTTACTCATCTCTATACTTCCTCATATATTATGTAAATGTTTTTACCTTTTATTGTATTTCCAAATGTTCTTATTCGTTTTTATTTAATTAATATATATTTGTATTTCATGCTCTTAAACTATTATCTCTTTACTTTGGTTTGTAACGTTTTTTATGAATCACCTGTGAGTGAGGCTGTGGGATGTGTTGCCCTCTGGTGGCTGAGGAAGGAACATTAGTGTTGTTTTCTTTAACCTGTTTAGCCTAACCCTGAGCCTGTTTTTCAGAGGCCTGTACTACGAAGCCGGATTTTCTCTTAGCGGCTGACTTCAGGGAAAACTCGGGCTTTCCGGTCCTACGACGCTGGTTCTCTTTTTAGCGGGCTAGATCTCCATGGTAATTTATGCTGAGCGGCTAACCCCCTTGGGAGGAGGTTAGGTTGCAGGATAAGAGATCAACTCAGTGAAAGCACCGCCTGCTGACCAATCAGAGCTCCGTGTGTGCGGAGTTTAAAGCGATCAAGTCATATTACAGGATAGAGGAAATACAGAAAAACTGCCGTTGCAGGAAAGACGGCCGGCAAAAATCAACTGACTGTGTGAACGTGAACATCAATAGAATATCCCCTCCTCCCATCTTCAGAGCAATCTGACTATTATAACATTAGTGTTAAGAAAGCTTACTTAAATATCTGCCACAACATAAGTAACCGGATCAAAGTAACATTAAGTACAGTCCGCGGCACTGTGAGTGCAGACGTCGATGTGTCCCATTATCATTCATATCATATCACATCATAATGTATCATATATCTCCTTATCTGAGTCAGCTGAGCCGTATCTGGCCGTGCAACACTCACAGTGTCACATACTGTATGCAGAAGTATTATTTTAAGCAACACATTAAGTTGACGAAACACTCGAGTCAAATGTAATTAAAGTCAGATCGTGTCTTGGACGGGGCAGTGATATCATAAACCTGTTAATGTACGCATTCAAACGCTTTTTCTTTTACCAGCTGTATTCACCTTGCAGGTGCAGCTATGTGGCTTTGATCCTGGATAAAGTGTTTAAGTCATGGATGTTTAAAGTTTAACTTCTTCATATTTGACTAATATTAAAGTTCACTTTTCATTCAGGAAGTATGACGCTGCGCTGTCAGTACGCTTGCCCATGTTTGTGATTGGTCGAATGCTCCAAATACCACCCCTTTCATGTGAACGCGCACCTAACTAGATAGGACACGGCTGGCTTGAGCGATCCACTTGATAACCAGCGTCGTAGTACAGTTTAGCGAGAGAGCGTATGTTTTGGATTGGGCCAACCGGCTAACTCAAACATATCCAGGTTAGGTTGAACCAGCTTCGTAGTACAGGCCTCTGGTCTCAGGCTCGAAAATGACATTCCCAGAACAAATGACCATATCTTCCCTTCTAAAAGGGTTAAATTAATCATCTTTATTCTCAAAGTAATGATAAACCTGTGAGTTGGATGTAGAAAAGTCAGAATCAATATAGATGTTTTTTATTTTAAAGAAAATTCAGATTTTACATAGAAAAAAACTGTAAATTATAGTGTCCGTCCAAAAATTCTTTTTTACTTATAGTGAAAACTACCCTTGGACGATGGGTTAGTAGACTAAAAGCTTTAGGAATCCAAAGTACAACATATAATAAGTACCCTGTATCAAGATTGATGCAAAACAAGTGACATTTGACCTTTTTAGAGAGATTTAGCACAAAAAAAACACTTCTGGGGTCATTTGGGTGGATTTTCCATATCTCTGGCCCCCCTTGCTCGATTTTGATGAATGAAATCTCTTTATAACCGCTAGAGCCAATGGAATCGAGGGAAAGTTCTATACACACCAAAACGTTAACAAATAAGGAGTGAGAGTGACGTGTGACAAAAAAGGTACGTGTTGTGATGTCTGTGTTTGCTTCCCCTGTCGCAAGTTCGGATCGCTCAGTGATGATACTATAGCTAAATAATCTGTGGAGTCTCACCTTTAATCGGATATATTGTATGTGCAGCTACGATAAGTAATAAGGGTATCTTTATCTTGAATTGTGTGCCAAAGTCAGTTTGCATTTTTTTGCTCAGGGGTCATTTAGACGCTTCTTATGAGACTTGTGTTTTGTTTTGGTAAAAATGGTTCATATCTTCAGTTAGCTGAGATTCTTCCCGTTAATCTGGTGCTACACATTAATAGTTTCATAAATGTTAAGAAGCCCTGAGACATTGTCTCGAAAAAAAAACGTTGGGAGGGGTCCAATGGGGGGACCGTCGTCCTTAAAGGTGGGGTAGGTAAGTTTGAGAAACCGGCTCGAGATCGCTAGAGTTTGAAAATACACAGCCGGAGAAAATCTGCCACTTCCTTCCAGAGCCCCTCCTCCAACACACACGAACGCGCACATGACCAATGAGGGCACGAGATAAGGTTGTGCACAGATGGAAGGCTGACAGGCAGGTAGGCCATCCAGTTATTTTAGCCGGCCGGCTCAGATGATTGGTCGTACTTTTTACAGTACCACAGCTTCCACAGATGACATTTCTTTATGGATTTTTTGTCAAAGCACTTCAGATATTCATTGCTATCGGGATGTTAAGAGCATTCCATGGAATATAACAAAAAGTGTATCTCAGCCTGAGCACACACACACACTCACAGCCTGAGCTCCGAGGGTGTGTGTGTGTGTGTGTGTGTGTGTGTGTGTGTGTGTGTGTGTGTGTGTGTGTGTGTGTGTGTGTGTGTGTGTGTGTGTGTGTGTGTGTGTGTGTGTGTGTGTGTGTGTGTGTGTGTGTGTGTGTGTGTGTGTGTGTGTGTGTGCGGCTCCGCGGACTTCGTTACGTCAGTATGCCCCGGAAGGAAAAAATGGAAAAAGAGAAATCTCCAACGAGGCGTTCTGGGGCAGCATAGACACGTCTTTTCTGTTTTAGAGTTTTACTCGCTACAGGCTTTGAGGGTTTGTGACTCTGCAGACCGTTTACATGCAGACAAACCTTCATAACACACAAGGGGACGGGTAATACCGGAAAAACATGTCATGGGACCTTTAAATACTTCGCTGGTCATGTGACGAGGAACAACAATAAACTGTATAAAGGTAACAACCACACCCACACACATGCAGGCACACACACACACACACACACACACACACACACACACACACACACACACACACACCACACACACACACACACACACACACACACACACACACACACACACACACTTACAGTATTAAGGACAGAAATAAAGAGAGGGTCTCTGAGTTATTCCCTGAGTGATGATTGATGATAATAATAGTTTTTGTGTGCTGGTGTATCTCAGGTAAAAACAGGAAGAGAGTTAAAGTCTGTCTCTGAGTCTCTGAAAGTTAAACTAAAGAGTTGTTCTTATTCTCTGAGCAATGATTGATAATCAGAGTTGTCTCTAAAAGCTCTGAAGTCACAAAAAGTTACAAACCTTTAGAGAGAAGAAGGAGAAGGAGAAGGTGCGACACGACCGACGAGCACGAAGTGAAGCTGAACAGCAAACAGGAAGCACTTCAAAATAAGAGCTCTTGCATAACATTTTATTTATATTCCTTCTACTTTAAAGGGGACCTATCATGCAAAATGCACTTCTGTACGTCTTTTCTACATGAATATGTGTCCCCGGTGTTCCAGGGAACTCACCAAGTGTCAGAAAACACAACCCTCTCTATTTTCCTCCATACCCAAATCTCTAAAAAAGGGGCTGCAACGGATCTGATAAAAACTGATCCAGATTTGAACACTGTCCTGACGTCAGGACGGTGGCGCTACGGCTATTGGGCCAACTCCACCAATCAGGAGGAGACAACCACGGCCATTGCCGCTCGAAAGCGCTGGAGACGCTGTAGTACATATGCCAGGCCTGTAGATGGTGCTGTTCTCACTGAATCTGCCCAGAGCTAAAACATGTCAAATTGAGCAAAATGAGGCATGGCTAAAATGCATGATCTGTTTGGTATTTTGAAAAAGAAAAAGTATAAATATGCCTTATATAGGTATGGTCCTACACTATATTATTCAAATATAGCATGATAGGTCCACTTTAACTAAAGTACAAGATCTGAGTATAGTAAGTCATATTATTGAAATTATAAATCATATTAATGAGATAGTAAGTCATATGTCATTGCCATAGCTACAGCTGATCAGAGAAAAGTTTGATCAAATCTAAGTTTATTTATAAGATTCAATATCACAAAACACGATTGTCTCAGTGGGGTTTGCATTATTAACAAACATATACAAAATACATGATAACAGGACAAGATAGAAGTCAATAAAAATACAACAGAAAGTAAATTAAAATACATTAAAAACAATAAAATGTAGGACTCAGGAGGACAGACATGGGGTGATCTTAAACCAGCTTTAACTATATGCATTTTTAAAGAGCTTTAATAAAAGCATCATGTTACCAAAGTCATGTGAATTAATCATAATCTCAAGACTCTACATTCAAGATTCAAGGCTTTTATTAGTCATACTTGCAGAGCTACAGTTTAGTTACTATGACGATGAACATCTGAGGTCCCAGGCTCCTCCAACAGAGCAACACAATAAAACAGAACAACAAAATAACATGGTGCAAGTAAATACAAAAAGTAAAATAGTGAAATAAGAGTCTATATTCAAGTGATTGGAATATGATATATGAGATAAATCATTTCTAAATTGCAACCAGATTAATGTTATGGATGTTGTTTCAAAAGTTCGGGTGTTTAACAGCTAACAGTTATGTTTACCTTGTGTTGATGTCTGCAGATCACCACTAGATGTCAGTCTGACCTCAGTGTGTGTGTGTGTGTGTGTGTGTGTGTGTGTGTGTGTGTGTGTGTGTGTGTGTGTGTGTGTGTGTGTGTGTGTGTGTGTGTGTGTGTGTGTGTGTGTGTGTGTGTGTGTGTGTGTGTGGTGTGTGTGTGTGTGAGTGTGTGTGTGTGGTGTGTGTGTGTGTGTGTGTGTGTGTGTGTGTGTGTGTGTGTGAGTGTGTGTGTGTGTGTGTGTGTGTGTGTTATAGGGTAAAATTTGACCCGTTTCCAAATGATTTTATGTCGAGATAAATGTTTATTTTATGTTCGTGCCAGAAACATATCATGTACTCGTATACTACATTTTGCGAGAAAATAATTATGATCACTTTCATTAGGTTTTGGGTTTAATTCAAATGTAAAGCATCTGGGGTCAATTTGGTAGAATGAATCAACATGTGTGTTTTTTTAAACTCAGAAATGAGGTTTGAATTTGTGTAAATGAGGTTTATTGACCGTACATTTAGAAAAGAAGAGTTACTTTCAAATCTGAATAAAGTTTTCTCAAAAGGTGTTACACAGATCTGAGTAATTATTTATACTCTATGCTTTATGAACAGAAGTTGCTCAGTTGATAGGACGACAACACAAGGGTTAAAATATTATTATTAATACTACAGCGTTACTAAAAGTCGTGCATTTAAAATCGCACCAAAGTAGAAGTATTCATACATAATACGGTAATACAAGTATTTAATTTGAACAATGGTCCATTTAAAATATATATATATATATTACATAATTGTACATGACTATTACTTTTAAAAAATGTTCAAGGTGCAAGTTTTACGTTCTCATGATATAGTTTTTATTAAGTTATAGGTGAGATACACGGGTCATTTTACAATACTTGTTCCTTTAGTGAGATATGTTAGTTGATGATCCTACTGATGTCACCTTTTTTATGTAGGTGGTATTCTTCCTTAAAGTCTGTGTACATCTCCTCAGGTTCACGTACTGAGTTACGCTGCTGCTGGTTTTGTATTTTCACTTTTTATTTGTGTTGAGTTTCATTATAAGGTAAATAATCACAAGTTGCATTTCCGCTTTTTATTCTGCTGCTGCTCCGCAAACACAACAAAACATAACTGTCAAAAAGGCACCGTGAAAAAACTCTTTAAGAGTAGAGACACTATATACTGATATACACCTGAACATCATCAGGAGAGGACTCTTTAAAGTAGAGACACTATATACTGATATACACCTGAACATCATCAGGAGAGGACTCTTTAAAGTAGAGACACTACATACTGATATACACCTGAACATCATCAGGAGAGGACTCTTTAAAGTAGAAACACTACATACTGATATACACCTGAACATCATCAGGAGAGGACTCTTTAAAGTAGAGACACTACTTACTGATATACACCTGAACATCATCAGGAGAGGACTCTTTAAAGTAGAGACACTACATACTGATATACACCTGAACATGAGCAGGAGAGGACTCTTTAAAGTAGAGACACTACATACTGATACACACCTGAACATCAGCAGGAGAGAACTCTTTAAAGTAGAGACACTACACACTGATATACACCTGAATATCAGCAGGAGAGAACTCTTTAAAGTAGAGACACTACATACTGATATACACCTGAACATCAGCAGGAGAGGACTCTTTAAAGTAGAGACACTACATACTGATATACACCTGAACATCAGCAGGAGAGGACTCTTTAAAGTAGAGACACTACATACTGATATACACCTGAACATCAGCAGGAGAGGACTCTTTAAAGTAGAGACACTACATACTGATATACACCTGAACATCAGCAGGAGAGGACTCTTTAAAGTAGAGACACTACATACTGATATACACCTGAACATCAGCAGGAGAGGACTCTTTAAAGTAGAGACACTACATACTGATATACACCTGAACATCAGCAGGAGACGACTCTTTAAAGTAGAGACACTACATACTGATATACACCTGAACATCAGCAGGAGAGGACTCTTTAAAGTAGAGACACTACATACTGATATACACCTGAACATCAGCAGGAGAAAACTCTTTAAAGTAGAGACACTACATACTGATATACACCTGGACATCAGCAGGAGAGGACTCTTTAAAGTAGAGACACTACATACTGATATACACCTGAACATCATCAGGAGAGGACTCTTTAAAGTAGAGACACTACATACTGATATACACCTGAACATGAGCAGGAGAGGACTCTTTAAAGTAGAGACACTACATACTGATACACACCTGAACATCAGCAGGAGAGAACTCTTTAAAGTAGAGACACTACACACTGATATACACCTGAATATCAGCAGGAGAGAACTCTTTAAAGTAGAGACACTACATACTGATATACACCTGAACATCAGCAGGAGAGGACTCTTTAAAGTAGAGACACTACATACTGATATACACCTGAACATCAGCAGGAGAGGACTCTTTAAAGTAGAGACACTACATACTGATATACACCTGAACATCAGCAGGAGAGGACTCTTTAAAGTAGAGACACTACATACTGATATACACCTGAACATCAGCAGGAGAGGACTCTTTAAAGTAGAGACACTACATACTGATATACACCTGAACATCAGCAGGAGAGGACTCTTTAAAGTAGAGACACTACATACTGATATACACCTGAACATCAGCAGGAGACGACTCTTTAAAGTAGAGACACTACATACTGATATACACCTGAACATCAGCAGGAGAGGACTCTTTAAAGTAGAGACACTACATACTGATATACACCTGAACATCAGCAGGAGAAAACTCTTTAAAGTAGAGACACTACATACTGATATACACCTGGACATCAGCAGGAGAGGACTCTTTAAAGTAGAGACACTACATACTGATATACACCTGAACATCAGCAGGAGAGGACTCTTTAAAGTAGAGACACTACATACTGATATACACCTGAACATCAGCAGGAGAGGACTCTTTAAAGTAGAGACACTACATACTGATATACACCTGAACATCAGCAGGAGAGGACTCTTTAAAGTAGAGACACTACATACTGATATACACCTGAACATCAGCAGGAGAGGACTCTTTAAAGTAGAGACACTACATACTGATATACACCTGAACATCAGCAGGAGAGGACTCTTTAAAGTAGAGACACTACATACTGATATACACCTGAACATCAGCAGGAGAGGACTCTTTAAAGTAGAGACACTACATACTGATATACACCTGAACATCAGCAGGAGAGGACTCTTTAAAGTAGAGACACTACATACTGATATACACCTGAACATCAGCAGGAGAGGACTCTTTAAAGTAGAGACACTACATACTGATATACACCTGAACATCAGCAGGAGACGACTCTTTAAAGTAGAGACACTACATACTGATATACACCTGAACATCAGCAGGAGACGACTCTTTAAAGTAGAGACACTACATACTGATATACACCTGAACATCAGCAGGAGAGAACTCTTTAAAGTAGATACACTACATACTGATATACACCTGGACATCAGCAGGAGAGGACTCTATAGTCAGTCGATGGATCCTCTCGCCTCCCCCTGCGGTGTCAGTGGAACATAACATAACCGAGACATACAGCTATCCCCCCAACAATTACCTGCTGTCAAACTACTTACACCATACTTTACCTCTAGCAGTGTGCTATTATACTTGAAGGAACTGAGGCTACCCTACCCACACATTAC